ATCTTCCCCGCCCCCCTGTGTTGGCGAGGATGTCTGGGAGTTGAAGTCCAAGAACATCTGGAGGCCCAAGGTTGGGGACCACTGACTAAGAGAACACAGGGAGGGGGCCTTTTCAGATTATTAAGTTTGGGTTGGGGGGTCACATAACCGGATGCTGCTCTTCCAGACTTTTCTAGAGTGTTCCCCCTCCCCTGCTCTTATCTAGCCCTTTGAGTGGTCACCTGAGTACTCACACAGTTTATCCTCCTGTTTCCTATAGTCCTGGCTTGCATATTCCTGACTGTTAGTACTGGGCCAAGAATCATGGGAACTGATTAGAAATGTGAGAACCACACTTTATGAGCATGAGTGGTAGGTTTTAGGGCAACTGAAAAAAAATTCACTGTAGCATGTTCAGAAAGAAGCTCTGTGTTGTTTGTGGATGGCCAGATGGTACTTGAAGATTTACATTTACAGAAAAACCTACTATTCTCTCCAACTATTTCATCTGCCTGCTTTAAAGTCTAAATAACAGAAGAGAAGTATATGCTGTTGACTTGTAAGAACTTTGAATATATGACAAATATTTCAATAAAAATAACTTCCAATTAAAGTTGTGAAGCTGGCTAAATAGGGCATGCAAACCACACTAGCTAAATTTTGTTGATTTTTCCCATTCCCGTCAATATCTAAAACCAAGTATGAACTAGCTGATGAAAAAACCTTTCAGATTTTTGTGCAGTGTATAAAAGTTGCATACTTCTAAAGCAGGCTTGATGACATATAATTAAAAAAAGGAAGAGGTTGAGTGTTTTACCTCTTTTTCTTCTTCATTTTAGATTGCAACTCCCCAAATTCCCCAAGCCGGAGTTTTATGGTTTAAAAAAGGAACAGTCCTTAGCTCTGAGATAAACATTATTAACCCAGAGCTCTATTGACTTTAAAAAATGTGACTTGACTCAGTTCAGAAGTTATATGTGGATTGGACTGAGAGCTTTATATGCAATTAAACCCCCTGTGAGAGCTGGCATGACAAAGAACTGTCTTGATATAACCTGCACCCTCTGTGTGTGCTTTTGGCTTTAGTCCTAAAGTTGATTATTTGAAAATAGGTGCTCTGACGTCAGTGCCTACAAAACAGGTCAGATTTGTTCTTCTGTTTTTTTTTCAGGCCATTTGCAGTGATATCACTAGGAACTCTGTGTGTGTGTGTATGCACAGACATACATTTCCTTTTAAAAACAACAGGACTGTACTAAATGTGTCATTGAAAATTCCATGTCTATTCTGATTGCAGAGAGCTAAAATTTTATTAAGACTTTACTGAAGTTATTACTGGCATTTTGCAGAATCTGCTGTGTTCTTTGCATATAATATCTTGTCACTAAGGAATGCACCCCAATTAGTCTCTATGTAGGTACTGAAGGCTATTAGATTGTCAGAACCAAACAAGAATATCATTATGTACAATCAAGTCAGTGTTGATTTCTTGCTACTCTTGCCAGGATTTCCTAGTACCTAATATGAAGTACTCAGAAGTGGTTTGCCATTCCCTTCCTATGGGTTTGCCCCTAAGACTGCACAGCTTGCCCAAAGCTACACAGGCTGTCTCTTCTCTCAGGAAGAACAGTGAGGAATCAAATCCCAACACTTGGCTCTGTGGACAAGTATTCCAACTCACGGAGCTATCCACCAGCTGAGAAGAAAAAAAGGGAAATATGGTTTTCCAGTATAAAACATAGAAGAAAACAAATTGTTCAGATTTCCATAAATTCCCTAATCCAGAGTATGTTTTGTGTATGTGATTTTTAAAAAAAAAAAATCGGTAACCCACCTGAAGGAAGCTGAACCTTCTTGCTTTGCCCTTCACTTTCCTTTTATGTGAATCCTTTTAATCATGATGTTGCCGGGGAGGGGCTGGGCAATCATCACTCACATACATGTTTGTTTATTTAAAATATTATAAACCCTTTCCTCTCCAAGATGTACAAGTGTCTTATAAACAAATAAAAGCAGACAACTGTCAGCTCAGAACCTCCTGTATATTGGGGGGGGGGGAGAGAAGGGCAGAATATTCCCGAAGGCAGGTGCCATTTCTGCATTGCCGCTCAGTGACCAGCTCCAAAGATCTTAGCAGTCTGAAGAGGAAAACACTCTTTCAGATTGCCCGGTCCCAAGTTCTGGCTCTTAGAGTTCTGAGTGTGTCATTTGTAAACATTGCCATCTCATACTGACTAGCACCCACTGTTTAGGATTAAATGCAGAGTTGCTTCCCCCTTTCCCTCAAGTCAGATTCATGATTATGAAGTGAATAATGCGTTTTGAAACATTGTCTCTTTGTAGTGATACAGTTAGCCTAAACCTTCTGTTAATTCTTTTATCTCTGCAGGCCCTGTATAGCTCCATCAAGAATGAAAAGCTGCAGTGGGCCATGTGAGTACCTCTGCTTATTGCAGTATAGCCTGTATATCCCTTCTTTGAAGACCCCATTCTTTTTAATTGAACCATTTTATTTTATCTTGTCAAATCTATCTTGCCTTATCATAATCCTATTCTATTTTTTTCTATTGTCAACCTTCATAGCCTACTTCCTAATCAATATTCAGAGTAACTTACAATCAAAAGTGAAATACACAACGGCATATCCATAATTTAGATCCAGCAGTGTCCCACATTTTCCGTTGACTGAGCCAAGCAGGGAAGTGTCAAGTTTATATTTTAAAAGAATTGTATGTAGAGAGTGAAAATATAATTGTGCGGCTGTTAGTTGTAGAAAACCATTTTTATTTTTAAAGAAGAGGTGGCTGTGTTAGTCTGTGCTAGCACATCAGGCAAAAACAAAAGAAAAATAAAGAAGGCAAGAACATTGCAGCACCTTAAAGACTAACTGCTAAATTTTAATATGAACTTTCATGGACAAGTCCACTTCTTCAGACATGAAAGTGGGATTATCTACTCTTATGTCTAAAGAGGTTGACGTGTCCCTGAAACCCTCCACCTATCTGTCTTCTAGTAAGGCAAACCACTAGGGTAGTCTGTTGTGCTTCCTTATCTGTATCTGTTTATTTAAACAAATTTATATAGTGCTCAGTTCATTTAAAAAAATCTCTGGCAAGAAAATACAGATAGGACCCAATACAGTTTATTAGATTAGAACATTAATAGCCATCTTAAAAACAATGGTAAATACATATGGCTCCCTTATGGGAAGTCAGACCACTGGCCCATCCAGTTCAATATTGTCAGTGCTGGCTGGCAGCAGCTGTCTAGGGTTTCAGACAGAAGTCTTTGTCAGCTCTTTCTGGAATGACAGGGCTGAACCCTGAGTCTTTTGTGTGCAAAGCATACCCTCTGCTACAGAGCTATGACTCTTCCCGAAAAATCAGATGGTTGGAAAATGGGGAGTATTATGCCATCATTGATTGTTATATGATGTGTAGACTGAAAATAACTTTAGGGCAACCATTGTTTTGGCTGTGAAACTGTTCCTTCAAAAGCATCATACAGATGAAAACATATTGATTGAAAGGGAAGGTCTGTTGTGATGAAATGAGAGGGAAGAATTTTTATCTTTTGAGAAAGCAGTAGAGCATGGCTTTTGAACACATTGCTTTTGTAGGGTGATTTGCTGTCATTCAAGCGCCTGCTGATTCTGCGGTGATGCTGTGGAATTCGGTGTGGTCTCACAACAGTCCTTGTAGTGGATCTCTTGAGTATCTACTATTCCTCAGATAGAGCCACATAAATTTTTTGTTCTGCTCCTAAACAGAAGAAAAATACATCCAAAATGTGAAATACATGGAATATAAAAAGCCAGCTGAGCCAAGAAATAAGTGATCAGCCACCTTTGTTCATGCATTGACTGGCTGTGATTCTTCTTCGATTTACTGAATTAATGTCCTAATAGAGGGAACTGGGAAAATTCAAAGTACAAGTGCAAGAAAGATTGGCTGATTTGAAGTTCTGTATTAAAAATTGTGTAATGTGCTCCAGTGGTTAAAAGATGGCAGGATGACAGATAAAGAAACATAAAATATGACTATCATTCAGTTAGATAAACCAGTAGTATAGTTTCTTGAGGAAATGTCTTGCTAATTTTGCTGCATCTTTGAGAGGTGTAGGTGGCTTATCTTGATCACCGGGGGGGGGCAGGGGGGAACACACAGTGCTTGGAAACAAAAGATGCTCCTCCTCCTCTCCTCAGAGTCCAGAGATGTTTTTGCCAGATGTTCCCTCAAAAGGACCTCTTTCATAAAAACCAGGACTCTCTTTAAAAAAGAACAACCATCAAATGTAACATTCCCTTGACTAAGCCAAACAGTCCTCTCATGCTGGGTGCTACTAGCAGTGAAGGACATGTACCAAGCAAACAACGGAAGGGCAACACTCTCCAAGCTCCTTGTCATGTTCTTCAGGCTGCAGACAATGAGAATCAATTAATAAAACATGAGCAGGCGGTGCTCTGGACACCGCTCATGGCTTTACAAGAGAAACTGTTATATCCATGTCAGTTACTTTGTCCTCAAAATATCTAGCAAACAGTCACAGCGTGTTTCCAAGGCTTCCTTCTGTTGTAGGAGAACACATAAAAGGCCCCATAGTGTTCAGAAGAACCCCACTGAGGACAAAGTGGTACAGAAGTACCGATTCATTCCCATTAGTATTGCCAACAATGAACTTTTCTGCCTTTTGCTTTCTGCTTATTTCTCTGGTCTGTTTCATAGCCCGAGGCTTACTAGCAAACCAAATGAGCTCTGTTGAGAAGGAAACGATTTTGTTGTTTAGTCGTTAAATCATATCTGACTCTTCGTGACCCCATGGACCAGAGCACGCCAGGCCCTCCTGTCTTCCACTGCCTCCCGGAGTTGGGTCAAATTCATGTTGGTAGCTTCAGTGACACTGTTCATCCATCTCATCCTCTGTCGTCCCCTTCTCCTCTTGCCTTCACCCTTTTCCAACATCAGGGTCTTTTCCAAGGAGTCTTCTCTTCTCATGAGATGGCCAAAGTATTGGAGGCTCAGCGTCAGGATCTGTCCTTCCAGTGAGCACTCAGGGTTGATTTCCTTCAGAATGGATAGGTTTGTTCTCCTTGCAGTCCAGGGGACTCTTAAGAGTCTCCTCCAGCACAATTCAAAGGCATCAATTCTTCAGCGATCGGCCTTCTTTATTCTCCAGCTCTCACTTCCATACATCACTACCAGAAAAAACATAACTTTGATTATACTATCAAGGAAATGTTACTTGTGAGTAATAGTGTAAAGAGCCCAGGTAATCTCTATATTTTCTTAAGTGACCAGGGCTTTTAAAGGAGTGCCAGCCGTGCCAGATCAGAGCTCTTTAGACGCTCTCATGAATTACAACTTCAAACTTGCCACAATAAACTCAGTGGCAAGTTTGAAGTTTCTACAGTGGGTAAAAGATATTTTCCATGTGTTGCCTCTTGTTCTGATAAACAAGGCTGTGCTAATCTGTGCTGCAGATAAACTACCCATGGCAAAGAGTTATTCTTATTTTCAATATGTCCAGTTGCTCAGTTCTTGTTGTTTTGAAATAAGTTTTTTTAGGTTAGGAAAGTAATAGATGATGTAGGAAGGAGAAGAAGTATTAAGAATCACAGAATCCTGAACCTTTCCCCCCTAGCAGCAAGACTGCTCAGTATGGAAAGTTCAGTACCTTCTGTCCGTGGTAGCAAATGAACCTGTTGAGGTAAGTCTAATTTTCTTCTTCGCGGTCTCTGTGATTCACACATGTGAGTTTGTATTTGCACGGAACATAATTTGGAATGTTCCAGAGCTCTGTAGCTTTAAGAGTTCTCCGTCCCCCCCCCAAAAAACATGTTCAGACTCATGGTAATGTTTGTTCCTCAATTCCCTCTTTTCTGCTATAACAATGGGGGTATTCTCAGAGCAGTTTCACCTCAAAACTTGTATCTAAAATGATCTTTATTTTTCTTTGCTTTTTTATTTGTGCTTTCTATTGTAGTCTTCATTAGTTAAAAATATATATCCTATTAGTGCATCTTCATTTTATGGCCTCCTTGGCGTTGTTCATGAAATATAAGGCTTGTGGGGGTAAAATTCCCGGAACAGATAGACCTCTAAAGTGTCTGTTCTGCCTTGGAGAAAAACATCTTTCTAAGGACTGCATCATCTGCAAAGGTTTCACTAAAGCACCCTTAAGGAATAGACAGTTGTTCCTTGAACTCCATCTATCTCTGACATGAATCCCTTCAAGCTTCAGATCAGATTTCACCTTGCACTGTCTTGACATCGGCCAAGTCATCAAAATCATATTCAAAAAGCTCAAAACACCACATCCAGTCAGTCTGACTCACCAGCTTCAGCACCAGCTATTAAGGCGCCTTCGGTATTGACAACTCACTCAAAACGCCTGCTTCAGTATCGGGATCATCAACAGCTTTGGTTCCAACTACAGCTCCATCATCCGTTAAAAGAACGAAGACAGCAGCATCTGTTGAACAAGTGAAAGCAAAGAAGCATTGAAAAAAAAAGATAAGAGTACATTTGTGCTTTCTACATCGTCAGTAGTGGTACAACCATCTGTACCCTGATGCCCTCACCCCTTAGATACTTTAAGCAGCATGCTTTGCTTTGCTTTGAAGATTCTTCCCCTCTTTTTCTCTGTTTGAACCCATGGCAAGAACAGATCTCTGTCTGTTTTCCTTCAAAATGGTTTTATTGGTAGCCATCAGTTCTGTGAGAAAGGCAAGTGAGTTGTGCCCACTTCGCCATGATCCACCTTTCCTGCAGTTTCATAAAAGGCCATATTATGCACAGATTATATCTTTGCTACCCCAAGTTTTCTCTGATTTTTACACAAGTCAGCTGATTCTATTACCAGCTTTATAGCCATCTTCAGGCAATGTTCTAGAAGAGGCATTGTACATGCTTGATGTTAGAATAGTCTTATCTTTTTAAACAACTTAGCAAAACAAAAAGCCTATTTATCTGTTACCAAGGATCTCATAAGGATCAACTTGTCTCATCTCAGAGATTTGTGAAGAGAGTCTTGTCTGCCATTAAGCTGTCCTACAGATTGGCAAAGCAGCCTCTTCCTTAGAAAGTTGCCAGCCAGTCTATCCATTCTATGGGAATGCTAACAGTATTCCTTAGAGAAATACAGCTACCAGAAATTTGCAAGGCAGCAACATGGTCCCAACCATTGACATTTGTGAACCAGTTTAGATTGGACTTAAGAGCATGAGCAGATATATCTTTTGAGCATGCTGTACAAGTTTTAGTGCAACAGCCCACCAGCCCGTAAATCAGTTAGTAAGTCACCCATATGCGTGAGCCCCACACCTGAGGGATTGCTCTCCCTCTGCAGTAATGTTCTGGAATCTTCTATAGCTGGTTGTTGATTCTGTTCCCCAAGTTCTGATTGTGAACCAGATTGCTTCTTGGCCTTTTGGC